CAAGACTCAATATGATGGCATTGTGGGCTTTCTCGATCATCTTCATCTCCTCCTTCTTCGGTAGGGTAGCATCCATCTTTTCTGATCCCTTCAACGCTTCTAACAAACCCTGCTGAATAAGAAGAGCTTGCATCTTTAAGTGCCATAATCTGAAACTGTTTACTGCAGAGAATTTCTCAATCTCATACTTCGTTGATGACATCTCGATTCACGCTCACAACACCAGTTTGTTGTGATAAATGATTTCAAGAACAAAGTAAAAATGTGAGAAAGAGAGGGTTTCTTGATCAAACAAAAAAGTCGTTCAATTCAAGAGGAGTGAGAAGAAGAAAAATAGAGAAAATTGAGTTGGTTAAACAATTATTCACTTTCTCATTGAACGTTAAATGATTACAAGTGAAAATAACAATCAACATCTATCCTAACAAGGAGAGAACAATCTATTTATAAACTATTAGCATATGTATATTATGTATGAAGATAATACTTATACATGACATATATAGCTACTTCGTAACATAATACATAATTTATCTTCGATTACTGCATATTTGAACAGACTTCAACTACAACACGCATATTTGACATTGTCGAATCCTGAAACTACTCCTATCGAGATTGAAGTTCAATCCAATACTATAAGTCACACGTGTAACATTAAAAAAAACCTTTTAAACTTAAATTACACTTCAACTCATCTAATAGATTGATTACTTTATCTTATCTCTCTTTGTTAAATTTATAACCAAAAATTTAGACCTGCAAAATTACATATTATAAGTGAAAAAATGTGTAAATGAATAGTGCTAAATCAAGTATTTATAATAGTGGTATTTTCATATAAAAACAAGAGTCAATAATAGTGGTACTTGTAAGTTGTGACTCGTGAGTAGGGTGTTCATGTATATAGGGCAACCTGCGAACCCACTCACCCAATCCAACCCAACCCATATTTTTATCCAACCCAATTATATACGGGTCCAATTCGAACCAACTTATTCAAATCCTTTGGTATTTCATTCAAGTAACGAGTTTGAAGTTTTAAACCAACGAACCCACGAACCCAACTCATTCACATGTCACACTTTTTTAATTTTATTTTATTTTTAAATTATTTAGCATGCATAATTTTTTTAAAATATTATTATAGTTTTTATTAATTATAAAAGTTTAAATCTAAATCAAATTTGAGAGATCAATTTTATTTATTTAAAGAGAGAGAGATCTTATCTTTTAAATTATACTTTACACCATTTGTATATTTTTTTAACTTTATATGAATTGTAAAAGAGTTTTTAGGTATTAACCAATAAATTTTATTCAAATTGAATACAAAAAGTTGATAGATTTTTTAATGGTTTTGTGATATAAATGTGTTTATTTAATTGATATATTTAATTTAGAATTTAAAAATTATATTTATAGATTATCCATGAATCCAACTCAATCCATCCCATTGATGAGCCGGTTAGGTTGGGCCGAATTTAATCTTAAAACTACATGTTAAAGGAAATTTTACCTCATACCCTATCAGTTATACCCATACCCCCACATTTTTTTAAAAATACCTATTTTATCCCTATATATTTAATATTTTATTATTTTGTATATTTTTAAGAGTTCTGATCCAATTGTCTATCGGAAGACTTCAAAAATGACATCGGGTAGGCTTTTTTTTCCAAACCGGAACACATGTTTAAAGAGTTCCGGAATGCAAAAAATAATATACCAGAAGACTTCATAAAAGACTTCCGGTATTATAATTTAAGTGGTGTTCACCGGAAGACTTCATCAAAGAGTTCCGGTAGTGTAATTTGTGTGGTGCATACCGGAACTCTTTGATGAAGTCTTCCGGTACGTGTTTTCCATTTTTTTTTTTAATTTTATTTTTTTTTATTATTTTATTTTTATTTTTTTTTAAATATTTGTTTTTATTTTTATTTTTTTATTTTTTTATTTTTAATTTTTTTAATTTTTTTTATTTTTAATTTTTTTTATTTTTAATTTTTTTTATTTTTAATTTTTTTTTATTTTAATTTTTTTATGTATTTTCAGAAATTCCTTTACAAATATGTGATAAATATCAGATATGTGTAGATACGTCTGATGTTTTTTCAACAACTCAAAGATTTGGTACACGAGAAGAGGTAATAAGATGGATTAAAGAGATCGGAATTCGAAATAAAGTTACGGTTATCATCACTCGTTCAGATATTAAAACAGGCCAGAGAGGAAGAAGTAACAAATTAATATTTGGATGTGATAAAGGAGGAAAACACATAGATATTGATAGTGGAACCCAGAGTGCGACGAAAAAATGTGGATGTCCATTTAGAATCAGATCAATTCCAGCGACTGATGGATCTGGATGGAAGATTGATGTAAAATGTGGAGTTCATAACCATGGTTTACCTGATAGATTAGAAGGTCACGCATTTGTCGGTAGGTTGACAGCGGATCAGAAGCAACATGTTGTTGATTTGACAAAAAGAAAGGTTCCACCTAGACATATATTGCTTTCATTGCAAGAGCAAGATCCAGATAATGTCACTCGGATCACGCAAATATACAAACAGAAGAGTATGATAGAAAAAAATATAAGAGGTCCTAGAAGTGAGATACAACATTTGTTTAAGCTCGTTGAGGAAGCAGGTTATGTTTATTGGAGTAGAAATAGAGATGACTCTGAAGTAATTAGAGATATCTTTTGGGCTCATCCAGATTCAGTTAAATTGTTGAATATTTTTCCTATTGTGCTAGTTATGGACAGCACTTACAAGACAAACACATATAGGCAACCTCTGTTTGAAATTGTTGGCATGACATCAACCGAGTTGACTTTTGCCATCGCATTTGCGTATATTGAGTCTGAGCAAACTGAGACTTTTTGTTGGGTGCTAGATAAGCTTAAACAATTGTTTGTGAAGAAAGAGTTGTGTCCACAAGTGATTTTGACAGATAGAGATCTTGCTTTGATGAAAGCCATTGAAATTGTGTTTCCAAAGTCGATCAATATGCTATGTCGATTTCATATTAACAAAAATGTTGGTGCAAAACGGAAACAATATGTGGCTAGTGAAATGCAAAAGAAAATTGACGATTTATGGACGGATGTTGTATGGGCTAGTGATGAGGTTGAGTATGATCAAAGGTTGAACCAACTTGAGCAGGCGTGTGTTGATTGTAATAAATTTATTGATTATGTGAAGGACACATGGTTGACACCACATAGACAAAGATTTGTTGGAGCATGGATTGATCGAGTGCTACATTTGGGTAACACCACGACTAATCGGTATGTATTTATTTTTAGTATTTATAAATTGTATTTTATTTTGAATTTTTTAAAAATATTTTTAATCTGTATTAATTTTAGGGTTGAGTCTGCTCATTGGAAGTTAAAGCAAATGTTAGGGAATAGTATTGGTGACATGGTCAAATGTTGGGAGGCTATGAATGACAACTTGAAGTTACAATTGAGTAATATTAGAGCTTCTTTTCAAAAGAGTTTTTATGAAGTTGAGCATGCCCACGTAAGTCCATTTTACAATAATTTACGTGGTTCAGTATCTCGAAATGCATTGAGACGCATTGCTGAAGAGTTAAAACGAGTTGATTATGTTGGAACTAACAAGGAAATATGTCGTTGTACTCTTAGAACAACCTACGGATTACCTTGTGCTTGTGAGTTGACAGGATATAGAATTGATGGTATACCGATACCAATAGATGTTGTACATGTTCATTGGAGAAAACTAAGTATGGAAGTTAAGTTGGATGAAGACGTAGATGATGGATCAGAGGTGGATATAAGTAGTGCAATAGATGAGTTATGGAAAAGGTTTAAGTCACTGAATGTTGTTGGGAAAAGGGCATTAAAAAGTAGGGTGTTTGAACTTGCCTTCCCTACAATGACTTCTATGTGTCCACCACCTGAAAAAATAAAAACTAAAGGGGGAATCAAGAAGAAAGACAAAAAAACCAGTAGGATATGATGTTTATAGAGACCCTTCTTATCACGAGTATGTTGATCAAGCATCTCAATCTTCACAGATGCAATCACAACCATCACAAACTTCGAAGAAGTTGAAATTATCACAGTCTTCACAAAAGAAATCTCAACCATCACAAGCTTCGAAGAAGTTGAAATTATCACAGTCATCTAAGCAGTTCATCCTTCAGTTTCCTAATTACATTCGGTCATATATTGATGATGTAGTTAATGTTGTATCAGATGGTAATTGTGGATTTAGAGTCATTGCTTCATTGCAAGGATTGGGTGAAGATGGTTGGTCAATGATTCGTCGAGACTTGGGGTTGGAAATAATACATAATGAAAGATCAAGTTTGTATGCCAATTTATTTACTGATCAGTTAGCAGTGGTGAGAGAATCTTTGATGATAGAGGAAGTCGGTTCTCAACCACCACATAAATGGTTAACTCTACCAGATATGGGTTACATGATAGCGAATCATTATAATGTTGTACTTGTCTGTTTAGGAATTGAATGCTGGACTTTCTTCCCTATGACAACTTCATTTTCACCGAATGCAGCAATCTACTGCATTGGTTTTGTAAATGGAAATCATTGGGTTCAGGTACTTAGTTGTTTTTTTTATAATGCGATTAACCCTAAGTATTTTTCTTTATTTTTTACTTACTATTTTGATTATTTTTTTATTTAGGTGAACATGAAAGAAGGGTTTCCATTGCCACCGGTGACAGTAGATTGGAAGAATTTTCGTTCTCCAGCAGCAACATCTTGGATGCTAGGATTTGCACCACGTCTACAACATTGGCAACAACTTACGCCTATATTACCAACACATTATACATTATAAATTATGTTACTCATTTTTAATTTCAAAACATGAATAATGAATTTTGTTACTCAATTTTAATTTCAAAACTTATAATATGTAAAGCCTCGAACAAATCCGCAAACTGTGGGTCAAATGAGTCTAAAAGTTAACATATAATCATAAATACAAAATATAAGTCACTGTGATCGAGCAATATGTAAAGCCTCGAACAAATCCGCAAACTGTGGGTCATCATCTTCAGCACCATCCTGCTGAAGATAACGATGAATCAACGAAGACACACGAGCCCAACTAGGATCAGATGGTCCTGCTTCATACACTGGAACTGGCATCTCTGCTGGCATCTCTGATGGTGCATCATGATAGGGTATCGGTACCAATCGAGGATGAGAGACACGATAATACCACTCAAGATATCCATCATCTGTCTCGTATGGGGTGGTGGCCGGTGCTGTCGGACGAATCACATTCTGGACGCTCTGATGGTAACTAATCCAGTCAACATCAATATCACCAACCATCCTGTGATCAATAGGTGGATGTGGAACATATTTCCTGTATCCAAACTGACGCATACATCTGTCAGGCAAATATGGAACAATAGTGTCACCCCACCTCAGACACCCCCTATATAGGCATAACTCATCAAACTGACGCCATACTCTATGATTCTCGAATGGGCGCCATATGACATCAGCAGGTGTCAGCTCGTCCAGAATAGGTCGTAACTCATCCACCTTCAAGGCACCTTGCCTATATGACCATCTCATCGCTCGAGGGAGACCCACATTATGAGCTGGTATCCAGTTCTCTCCTTTTTTTCCAAGTGTTGGAAAATACTCATGAATCCAGCACTGTCACAAAATTAATATGGTTATTAACATTAAAATAATTAATTATAACATAATAAAATTTATTAAAACAAAATATACTAAATTAAAATAAATACCTGTAAGAGAGTCGGATAACCACCAAGCTGCTTACAGCTGAACATGGAAGCCTCTCCGAGATATCTGTAAAGAGTAGCCAACGCAGCTGCTCCCCAACTGTATCCAGGTAAGCCATCCAAGTCTATAAACAGTGAGAGGTATCGTGCCTCGACAAGCGTAAACGTCTTGTCCGCGAAAATCGTGGAACCCACCAACATCAACAAATAAGCTCTAGTGGCATAATGCCATCTAGATGCAGCTCTATGCTCAACGAACAGATCATATAATCACTCCAGCTTGTAGTAGGAACCCCTGCATTCACGGACTTGTTGTTGTGCTACTCTCTGTGACACTCCTAAATGATCAACAGCCCACTCAACAGCAAGGGCTTCACTGATATCTTCAGGGCTCCAGAAAACTCCCCTGATGGGCAAGTGAAGTAGGCAAGATACGTCATCTAGAGTAATCGTCATCTCACCAAACGGCATGTGAAATGATGATGTTTCTAGATGCCACCTCTCTGCAAAAGCGGAAACTAGGTTTGTGTCTATCTTTGATAAACTGGTTCTCTGTAGTGAAGCTAAACCAGACCTAGATATCCATCTCTCCATCTCTCTAGGTAGCTGTAGTGGAACCCTCTGAGCCAACTTCAACCCATGTCCAGCCACCTTTAATTCTTTCTTCGACCCTCTCTCCTGAAAAAAATTAAAAGTAAATATATTATAAAATTCAATATTAAAAATTCGAAATGACCGTCAATATTAAATAATTTTCGTTTACTTACCTGACCGAACCATATACGGTATGCAATATATTGTTCGTACTTAACTAACAGAGACGTATCATATGGTGCTCCTGGATATCCAACTGTTTCGGATGCTGATGCAGATGCATCAAAATGCTCTTCTTCAGCCATCCTGGAGGACTCGCCCCGTCCTAGTCCGCGAGGGATCCTACCATCTCTGCCTCGTGTGCGCACCACTGGAAAAAAAAACCAATATAATTAAAAAAAATTAAAATAAAAATAATATATATAATTAAAAAATAAAAATTAAAACCATAATAATAAATAAATATAATTAAAAATTTTAAAAAGTAAATTAATAAATAAAATTAAAATTAAAATAAATAAATAAAATAAAATTAAAATAAATAAATAAAATAAAAATTAAAATAAATAAATAAATAAATTAAAAAAAAAACAAAAAAAAAAACAATGAACTGGAAGACATGAAGAAAGTCTTTCGGTGAAGAAATTAGGAAAAATGTGTTCCGGAACACTTAAGCGAAGTCTTCCGGTGAAGAAATCCAAGAAATTGTATACCGGAAGACATGCATTAAGTCTTCCGGTGAAGGGAAAAAAAAAACAAAGGAACCAGAAGACTTACTTGAAGAGTTCCGGTTTGGCTAGCGCGCAAAATGACTTCCGGAAGACTTTAAGGAAGAGTTCCGGTTTGAGAGATAAAAATGTGTGTTCCGGAAGTCTTTCAGTGCAAATGAAGTGAAATGAATTTTTTTTTTTAAATTATACTATTTAAGGAAGGGCATTTTGGTCCAATATTTTTTAGTGTAGGGGTGTGGGGATAGATGTAGGTGTATGAAGTAAAATTTTCCATGTTAAACACTCAACTTAATAAATATTGACCAAATCGGATATTAAATTTAATCAAATTAAACACAAGCTAACATGTGAACATTCCAAATTATGGGCAAGCATATTCATGGTTTATCCATAAATTATAGCCAATGCATATAGATTAATGTGAAGAATTTCTATATAGCCAAAGAAATATAAGGTTGATTTTTTTTAAGTTTAAAAAAACTATTTCTGTTTTACTTTTAAAAGTATTTTTTTATAAAAAACATTTTAAAATGTTAAAAGTTTTTTAATTTGTTTTTAAAAAATTAAAAAAAAAATTAAAATCAATAACATAAACATACATTATTAAAGATTAAAATATATTTAAAATTATAACTTTTTCTACGATGTATTTCAAAATTATTTTTTCAAAATAACTCTAAATTTAAATAATTTTTTTAAATTTTGATATTCATAAGAAAATATAATATAAGAGTGAGTTATTTAATATAAAAAAATTTTAAAATTATTTAAACTAATTTTTTATTTAAAGGTTTATATATATATATATATATATATATATATATATATATATATATATATATATATATATATATATATATATATATATATATATATATATATATATATATATATATATAGGCAAAATAACTTTTTTGGTCCCTTAACATTAGCTCGGGGTCCACTTTGGTCCCTTATCTTTAAAAAGTGTCAAATTGGTCATTTAACTTTTAAAATGGTGTCATTTTAGTCCTCACCGTTAATTGACCACAAACGTCCGTTTGTTTTGTATATGTGGCATATGAGGTGGCAATCTTGTTCATGTCTTCCTTCTCCCTCCTTCCTCCTTCGATGAAAGCCCTAAAAAAATTTCATATCCCAAATCCCAATTCCACTCACGAATCCATAAATTAATCTAGGGCAAACATGAAATCCAGATGTTGCTCTTCCATTTCAAAAACGAAAAGTCGGGATTCGGATGTTTGTAGTCGGTCACGATGGAAGCCCATGTGCCATTGTGGAGACATGGTTGTTCTTCAAAGGGCAACGACTGTTAAGAATATGGGAAAACTTTTTTGGGGTTGTCCAAATTACAAGGTATGCAAGCTGATTTTGTTCTCTGTTCAAGTTATGTTTCTGTTTATTATGTTTCTGTTCAAGCTGTGTAAATTATGTTTCTGTTTATTATCCTCTAAACAATTAATCTTACAGGGAGGTATGCAAGCTGGTTGTGGCTTCTTTGATTGGTTTTATGAGGAGATGGGTGATGAGAAGGAGCAAATTTGGATGCATAGGTTGGGTGTGGTAACAAAGGGACTTGAAAAAGCGGCAGTGGAAAATGAAGAATTAGGAAAAAAGCTGATGAAACTTGAAATTGAAATGAAGAATATCATGAAGTGGAAAAAGATTTTGAATTTGATGTTTGTGATTATTATCATTGTATTAGTTGTTAGGGGTAGTTAGTTTCTTACGGGTTGTTTGGAAGTATTATGTTTAGTTAAAGTTTGTATGACTTCAACATGAATGTAATAGTTAGATTTTAATATATGTATTGTATCCGTTTAGTTCATTTCAATATTTGCAGCAGCATAACAGCAGTTAATTTCAATTTCAATATATGGATTGTAAAGTGGTTTGCAATGTTTGGCATCTGACATATTTGCATATTTGTATTTGCATATTTGCATAACAGTAGAAGCATTATCATTGTATTGTGTTTGGCATATTTGCAATATCTGAAATTTACATGTTTTGCAATGTTTGGTAATAACAGCAGCATATAACATGTTTTGCAATGTTTTGCATACAATATAACATGTTTTTATAATAACGGCAGCAATAATATAACATGTTCTAGTAATAACAGTAATGTTTTGGTAATAACAACAGTGATGTTTGGTAAAGTTTTGGTAATAACAGTTTAAATGTTTTGGTAATAACAACATTAATGTTTTGGTAATAACAACAGCAATGTTTGGTAATGTTTTGTTAATAACAGCAGCAATGTTTTGGTAATAACAACAACAATGTTTTGGTAATAACAGCAGCAATGTTTTGGTAATAACAGCAGCAATAATATAACATGTTTTGGTAATAACAGCAGCAATGTTTGGTAATAACAGCAGCAATAGCATAACATGTTTTGGTAATAACAGCAGCATATATTAGACTTGTTCATGACAACAACAATAGAATACATAAACTTGTTCTAGGTAACTTGTTCTAGGTAACTAAACATGTTCCACAACTTAGAGTTTCTTGTTTGGCGTGGTCCTCTTTGTTGGAGTAGACCTCCTTGTTACTGGGCCAACAACATTATTCGCCGCACGCATCCTAGTTGTAGGGCCAGGTGGCACAAAAGGTCTTGTAGGCTTCCTTACAGGAAGCTTTTGTTTCTTGCCCGTAGCAGCCTGAGATGGAGTGTGTTGACTAGTTTGTTGAGAAGTCTGTGATGGAGTGTGTTGAGTAGTTTGTTGAGAAGTCTGAGATGGAGTGTGTTGAGTAGTTTGTTGAGAAGTCTGAGATGGAGTCTGAGTAGGAGTATGATTGAGCTGGGCTGATTGTTGAGTTGTTGTGTCTTTACAAGTAGATTTGTAATGTCCTGCTTTCTTACACCTGCTACACTTCACCAGAAAACCTGTTCTTCTCATTTTGCGAGCAGACCCGTCAATTTCACCTTGTTCTAGGTTCCTTCTCTTTTTAGGACATGTAGAAAATAAATAACAACTGTTACAATACCAACCTTATTATAACCTTATTCACAACAGCAACACATAAATTGAATAGATACACCAAATGACAACAACACATTTAATTAAAAGGAAATAACAACATATATAACACATATATCAACATATATAGCACATATATCAACATATATAGCACAAATCCAAATTTAAAGGTGCATATATAGCACATATATCAACATATATAGCACATATAACAACAACACATATAATAGCAGCAGCACATATAGCTAACTATATCACATATAGCTAACTATAACTATATCACATATAATAGTAGCAGCACATATAGCTAATTATATCACATATAATAACAACAGCACATATAACAGTCTGAGATACTTGGATGCATATTTCAGAATACATATAACAGTCTGAGACACTTGGATGCATATTTCATAATACATATAACAGTCTGAGATGAAAAACAGTCTGAGATGAAAAACAGTCTGAGATGATATTTCATAATACCTATAACAGTCTGACATGAAAAACAGCAGGATACACAACTGCATATGCAATAAATGAAAAACTTAAAGCTTGCCTTTTGTTGGTCTGAGATGAAGGTGTAAGTCAGGCATTCAGCTTTGCCTCCAAGATCATCAATTAAGAGCTCTAAAAACCAAGTCCAGCTCTCCTTGTTTTCACTCTCCACAACTGCATATGCAATGGGAAGCATCTGATCATTAGGATCCCTCCCAATGGCAGCTAGTATCTGCCCTCCACACAACCCCTTAAGAAAACACCCATCTAGACCTATTACATGCCTGCACAACTTAAAGCTTTCCTTACACGCAGCAAAACATATGTAAAGCCTTCTAAAATATGGTCTTTCATCCTCAACACCTACTTGTACAGGCTCAACATTGAGCTTAACTGTTGACCCTGGATTGGCTCTTAACAGTTCATGACAGTAGTCATAAACCCTTGTGTAATCTCCCAAAAATGAACCATCTACATACTCTCTAGCTGCGACTCTTGCTCTTATGGCTTTGGTTTTGTTGACCCCAACATTCCACTTTTTTTGTGCCTTCTCCTTGATATCCTTTATAGTCAACCTTGGATTGTTTTTCAAGCTATTTTGAAGCCTTTTACTCAACCACTTTGTACTCATCAGCTTCACATTAAACTCTCTACTGCAACTGTGTTTATCAATTACTTTCCTGAGTTGCCAAGTGTCTTCAGTTGACAACTTGCTACAATAAGCCTCCCACTTACAACCAACTTTACATCTAACCCTTACCCTAACTTTGTCATTTTTTACAAACCTTAGGTCTCTACCATTTTGAACAGCATAAGTTGTTATTGCTTCCCTAAAATCAACCTTTGAACTAAAGTACATTCCCACATCCCACTTGTAATCTGACATGTCTTTTGGCTGTCTGAAAATTTGATGTTTTTTTCTTACAACTCCACTGCTATCATCACTGTCACAACCACTTTGCATTTCCTCACTCTCATTGTCACTTCCTTTACCATCATTTCCTGCAACTTCACTGTTACCATCATTTTCAAGACCAAGTAGGGCATCAAGTTCATCCTCCCTAATCTCATCAAACCCATCAGACT